TCACCCGATCTCACCCTGCCACCCCATCTATCACCCCCATCTCACCCTTCCACCCCACCTGTCACCCTGCAACCCCACCTGTCACCTCCCTCTCATGCTGCCACCCCATCTGTCACTCCCTGTTACCCTGTTACCCCATCTCACCACCTCACCCTGCCACCCCACCTGTCACCTCCCTCACCCTGCCACTTCACCTTGTCACTCACCATGCCACTTCACCCTGTCACCCCTCTCTCACACTACCACCCCACCTGTCACTCCTATCTCACCCTGCTACCTCTAACACCTGTCATCCCTATCTCTTACCTTTCCACTTAATTTGCCACTTCTCTCACCTCTGCCACCCTGCCACTCCTACCTGTCACTTCTTTTCTGTTGTTACCCTGCTACCCTCTACCTGTCACTCCCTCTCACCTCTACCCAGCACTTACCTGTTACCTCTACCCTACTACAATTCTACCTTTACCTCAAGCAATTTAATTTGTCACTCCCATTCACCTGCTACTTCACCCTGTCACTTCCCTAACCTTCCACCTCCACCCTGTCACCCCACCTCACCCTGTCACTCCTTCTCTATACTGCTACCCTAATTTGTCACTCCCTGCCACCCCACCTCTCATCCTGTCATCCCCCTTCCAGCCCACCTCTCACCCTGCCATCTTGCCCTGTCATTCGCCTCTCACTCTGTCACCTCACCCTGTCACCCCCCTGCAACCCAACCTATCACACCCTGTCACCTCCCTCTCACCCTGTCACCCCACCTCTCATTCTGTCATCCCCCTTCCACCCCACCTGTCATCCCTCACTCCCCCTCACTCTGCCACGCCCTCACCCTGTCACCCCCTCTCACCCTGCCACCCCACCTGTCACCCCCTCACCCTTCCTTCTCTTCTCACCCAGTCACCCCCCTCACTCCACATCTCACCCTGTCACCCCACCTCCCACCCTGTCACCTTGCCCTGTCATTCCCCTCTCACTCTGTCACCTCACCCTGTCACCTCCCTCTCACCTTGTCACCCCCTCACCCTGTCACCCCACCTCTCATTCTGTCATCCCCCTTCCACCCCACCTGTCATCCCTCACTCCCTCTCACTCTGCCACCCCCTCACCCTGTCACCCCCTCTCAGCCTGCCACCCCACCTGTCACCCCCTCACCCTGCCACCCCTTCTCACCCAGTCACCCCCCTCACCCCACATCTCACCCTGCCACCCCACCTCTCACCCTGTCACCCACCCTGTGACTCCCACACTGTCACCCCCCTTACTCTCACCTCACCCTGTCACTCCCCACACACTGTCACCCCACGTCACACTGTCACCCCACCTGTCACCCCCTCACCCTGCCTCCCCTCTCACCCCACATTTGACCCTGTCACTCACCCTGCCACCCCACCTGTCACCCCCTCTCACCCTGCTACCTCACCTGTCACCCCCTCACTCTATCACCCCACCTCTTACTGTGTCACCCACCCTTTGACCCCCCACCCTGTCACTCCCCACACACCATCACCCCACCTCACACTGTCACCCCCTAATACTGTCACCCCCTCTCACCCTGTCACCCCCCCTACACTATGTCACCCTCCCTCACACTAGGTCTCCCCCCTCTGTCTCTTCCCTCTTACTCTGTCACACCCCTTACAAGAATGTCACCCCCTCTTACTCTGTCACCCCCCTCTTACTCTGTCACACCCCTTACACTAATGTAACCCTCTCACACTGTCACCCCCCACACTATGCCACCTCACTACACTCTGTCACCTCTCTCCACACACACTGTCACCCCCCCCTCCATACACACTATCTCTCCCTCTAAACACACGGGCACCACTCTCTGTACTCTGGCACCCTCCTGCTCTTTTTACAATCTCCATGCCACAGTTACTCCTTGTAACAGGACTTCACCAGCACCAAAGCCCTGTGGACTAAAACAGTGAAAATGTCGAAATTATTGCAAGGGAATACCATTACTGGGGAATACAGCCGTTCGTATGATTTCAGACGAATTCGTTGTGTTAAGTATGGATGGCCGGCATTTCGGCACTTTACACGTGGCCGCGGCCATTTTACGTGCGAACAGCGGTGGTTGCCCGTCGACGCGTGGAACTAAAATCGGATACGCAAACAGGCGAACACCGCTGAGACCTCCATACAACCAGAACTTCGCACGGAAACTACCGAATCACGGGCCATTCGGTAGTTTCACTTAATCAGCTATGGGGAATCCAGCGAACTCGGAGATAGTTGTGGATGGCAAGAATTTCGTCTTTTTGTAACCGGCGAACAGAGACCGACTGCAGGGCCAAAACTTGTGGAACTATTTTCGGCTAGAAAATCCGTGCAGTCGGTCAAAACTTCAAACCTCCATAACTCCCGAACCCCATAACCGAATGGGCTGAAACTTCGACAGATTGTTCCCCTAACCAAGACCTTTCAAGCGGTACTGGACTTAAAGGTGTACCCCCTGTTTTTGGGGTACATCCAGAACTAGGGTGAAAAAGGGTACGTTATAATTATGTTATGTGTTTATCTGAGGGGAGGAGACGTGGGGGTGTTACCCTGTGTGTAATTGGTTATTTTCATCCTCCCCCTGGGAGTGTCCTGTGTGTACTTGTTCCTAATAAAAAGCAGGCTGGTTCTCCCAGACCTCAGATCTTCTTGACCCTTCAAAACGTAGCCTTGTCTCGTTCTTGGAAGGGGATTATTTGGGAATGTTATTCTGCTCCTGTTACAGCTGAACCTGACTTTTACTCTGGATATCGTAGATGGGATTATACCAGCTTACTTCTCCACAGCAGCTTGCAGGGAAAAAGGACGTCTCCAACGGCCGATACCCTCTCTCTACCAGGGTAGCCGTTACACTCCTTTACTCACCCTGTCACCCCCTGAATTCTACACACTGTCATAAAACATAGCTTCGCCATGAACTTAATGCCAAAGGCCACAGGCAGTAACACAAACATACACATGCTCAGAGAAACATGCATACATATGCAAAGATACTCACTGCCAGACACACACTCTCAGGCACACACAGGTAGACAATGCAACTACGTATACAAAGACTAGTTCTCTATATCCAGTACTGCAAGCCTGCCCTTCAATATATCTACAGCTTCTTATACACACACAAGTCAATTGCTGTTTTTTTCCAATAATGGTGTTAGTGAGGGCCTCATGTATGAGTTTCGCCTAAGGCCTCGCCAAGTCTAGAGCCGCCACTGCCAAGCTCAGTGCTGATTTAAAATACATACAAAGTGCAAAACAGTTATTCACTCCCAAACTTTTGTTTTTCTTTCTCTATCCTATTGTGAATATGGAGGCCTATCGCAAACAATTGAAAGAGGCCTTGGAATTGTTATGCCAAGAAAAGGATTTACCAACTCTAGGCTAAAATAAAGCACAACTTATGGCTGACCTTGTGGAGGCTGACAGCCATGTTTTTCAGCCACAGACGGACACTGGAAGGGTTACTGAGCTCCCTACTACTGCAGGAGTGTTGCTTACTGAAATGCCTGGTGGTTGTACCCCTCAAAACATTAAGGACATTTGCTCAACTGATTTATTTTGGCATCTGATGGCTGCAAATCCTCAGGAGACCCTGCACGTGATGATCCAACAGCAGGCTGCAGAAAGGGAATCTGCAGAGAGGTTGGCCGAAAGGGAGGTGCAAAGGAGACATGAGCTGGAACTTGCTAAACTGCAATTTACCCTTCAGTCCTCACTCAACAGCAATGCATCAGAGTCCAGCACACGTAGGCTCCGTAAGGATGATTTTCCTTCCCTCGAAGAAGGGACGGATTTGGATGTATTTTTAAAAGGTTTTGAGAAAGTATGCAGGCAGCATCAACTACCCTCAGACCAGTGGGGCAGATATTTAACTCCACAGTTGAAAGGGAAAGCCTTGGATGTGTTTGTGTCCCTTCCCCCAGAGACTGATAACAACTATGAGGCAATTAAATCTGCACTGCAAAAAACTTTGAACCTTACTCCTGAGTCTTACAGGAAAAAGTTTAGGAGTATGCAGCAATGCCCATCATCCAGGAAAACAGAATAGATTTCCTGGAAAGCCAGGGAAATATATAGGTGGATTGGCGCTATATCTAAAGGTCAAGCGGTGCAACAACTCCCAAGTGCCAAAGAATCACCAAACAGCACTTTAAGCATATATCATTGATAAAAACACAGAAAAGAAATAGGGAGGTGCAATGAATAAAATAAACCAGTATTATACTTATATCAGGTGGATCTCTGAATCAACCTAAAAATAAAAAAATATACATAGCATAATACTGTAACACATTAGCAGAATTAATCGGAGGTAATGGGTCACTCACGATCTGCAGAGCCTGCTTTCCAAGGCTCTGCAGATCGTGAGTGACCCATTACCTCCGATTAATTCTGCTAATGTGTTACAGTATTATGCTATGTATATTTTTTTAGTTTTAGGTTGATTCAGAGATCCACCTGATATAAGTATAATACTGGTTTATTTTATTCATTGCACCTCCCTATTTCTTTTCTGTGTTTTTATCAATGCCCATCATCCAGCTGCATTCTATATGTTGCACAATTAGAAATCACGTTCCGGCAATGGGTAACAGGAGTACAAGCTAGTACCTATGAAGCCTTTAATGACTTAATGGTCCTGGAGCAGTTCTTGCAGACCCGGAGCCCTAATGTACGAGAGTGGATTTTGGAAAGAAAGCCAAAAAATGCTAGGGGTGCTGCAGAACTGGCAGATGACTATGTCGACATCCATGCACCCACATCCAGACGTGGACTTGTGTCAGTGGCTACTTCGACCTGGAGAGAAGCTACCTGTAAGATCTGCAGTGAGAACTTCACCGCCGACTGCCAGCGTAGCTGGGGCTATGTCAAGTGAGTCAGATGCCTGCCATTGTTTTTGATGCAACCAGATTGGTCATCTGAGCAGGACTTGCCCCACTAGGAATATACCCTCAACAGCCTGTGGAGGGGGACCATTAGTATTGCTTGTGGGGGGGTCCGTGGGGAAACGAGAGGATAACCTGCAGAGTGTAATTGTGGGTGACCGAGTGACCATGGGACTGAGAGATTCTGGAACTTCATTCACCCTGGTGCGCCCTGTGATGATGGTTGCTGCAGGGACGAGGAACCGACAATCTCCTCTACCTGGGATGCTGTCTGACGCTGGGAAGAAAGACCAATTGGCAACAGCCCCAATCTCCACAATCGGCACTCGCATTCCCATGCCGCTTGATTCTCCACAGCCAATTCGAGCATAGTTGCCAGAATCGTCGCTGACGAAGGATTCGGGCCATATCTGGATAACCGCCTCTCTATAAGCGTCGCCCTCAAAGCGATAGGTCATGTTTGCTGTGAACAGGGGCGCTGTGCGAATACTAGCGTTGCCCTCAAATTGTAATTCCAAATGTTACCGGTGCCTCTGCGCTGCTTCTCCATGCACTAGGACGCCATCCCACCGCTTGCCACCATTTGTGACGGACTGCTAGCACTCCGACTGAGTACCTCGGCCAAATCGATGCTCCTAGTGCTCGCTGAGGACTCCAAGCACTCCAACCGACACCATCAGTACTGCAGACTCCACTCCCAGTGATGCAGCTGCGCCGGGGTCTCACTGTCTCCACCCACCCTGGACCCAAGCCAGGATCCAGCTTCCAGTGGGTTAACCTCTCTTTCCCCAGAGAGCAGGAACAAGCTCTTAGCAGAGCTTAGTGAATATACCCTGGGGAGTATAGTGAATATAGCAATCCCCAGAGTGTAGTTTTCTAATCCCCCCAAACATGAGCCAAGGCTTAATGCTGGAACAAGACTTTACTGGAAGTAACAACAACAGGTATAAAAGCTACAGTTTCTTTTATGCCCTGCTCCCATGCAGGGGAGGGACACACACGTTATCTACAGTATCCAATAAAACAGAGGTTACAGCCCACACAAAATCCTCCCGTCTGCCTGTGATTCAATTATCTTATACAATAGAAGATTCAATTATCACAGGTAGGAAAAATACAGTTTTTACAGCATATTCATAACTTCTAAAATATACATCACATTCACATAAAAATTATATATTCACAATCAATCCATTAAGGGAAACAACATATCAGCATGAATCAGACCAGGGGTTCAGAAGTTAGTAAAGTATATTTTGGGGCCTGGCTGGCAGCATGGCTATCTGGCCCAAACTGGTTTTACAGAGCCCTCTATCCTGGAGACAATGGGGAAAATAACCCAAATATCCAGGGATAGAGGCAGACTCCATTGAGCACATGTTCCTAGTAAAACACAAAAGGATACAAAAATACATAACTCCTATCATAGTGAATTGAACGGGCCAAATCTCCCAGGGTCCATAGTCACAGGGCAAGAGGCGGGCAAGCAGTCCTCTCCAGGCACAAGTGGTGAAGGGCACTTCGTCACAGTAATAAATCCATGAATAAAGTAGCAGGGAGGGAAAGTATCGAATGAATGGAGGGGGATTCTTCACAGTAACTAAAATTATAGATCAGGGTGGTGCAGTAGACATTTCTTACCTAGATTTAAGTAAGGCTTTTGACACTGTTGCACATCGAAGGCTTACCAATAACTGCAATCTTTACGTTTGGATTCCAATATTGTTGAATGGGTAAGGCAGTGGCTGAGTGACAGGCAACAGAGGGTTGTAGTCAATAGAGTATATTCAAAGCATGGGCTTGTCACTGGTGGGGTACCTCAGGGATCTGTACTTGGACCCATTCTCTTTAAATTTTTTATTAGTGATATTGCAGAAGGTCTCGATGGTAAGGCATGTCTTTTCGCTGATGATACTAAGATATGTAACAGGGTTGATGTTCCAGGAGGGATAAGCCAAATTACAAATGATTTAGGTAAACTAGAAAAATGGTCAGAGTTGTGGTTCAAGGTTAAAGGAACTTAACATGCAGAGCTTAGAGGAAAGACAAGACAGGGGGGATATGATGGAAACATTTAAATACATAAAGGGAATCAACACAGTAAAGGAGGAGACTATATTTTAAAGAAGAAAAACTACCACAACAAGAGCACATAGTCTTAAATTAGGTTTAAAAATAATATCAGGAAGTATTACTTTACTGGGAGGGTAGTGGATGCATGGAATGGCCTTCCAGCTGAAGTGGTAGAGGTTAACACAGTAAAGGAGTTTAAGCATCCATGGGATATGCATAAGGCAATGCTAACTATATGATAAGGCCAGGGACTAATGAAAGTTTTTTAAAAATTGGGCAGACTAGATGGTTCAAATCGTTCTCATCTGCCGTCACATTCTATGTTTCTATGAAACGCGTTTTGGCTGATTTGGACTTTTTATACTACATTTCAGATTTTATTTTATAGCTTAAAACCTTGAATATCGTGTTTTACTTTGGAACCTTGACAGACCCATCTGTTTGTAAATTGCTTTTATTTCCCCTTCATTCGTCTGTTTGTTCGGCTATTTCCCTGTCCGTACAGTCCCTACATTATTCTCCTGTTTTACCGAAGGAACTGCCGAACACCCAGCATGGAAGTGCGCTGCTTGTTAACCTCTTGGCCCCATTAGAACGTTGTGATTAACCGCAGACACTTCCTAATTGTCGAAGGTTGGCTCGGTGGTCATCGTTCGTATAAATGAACATGTGGCGGCGGCCATCTTGGACACACGAATTCCCAGTGGTGTTCGTCTACTATTTAATGGAACTGAAAACGGATACTATTCCTCATGAACACCGCTGAAGCCACCGACCTTCCTTCCTCTGTTCCTTCATCATACGAACGCTGTACCGTTCGGTACTTTTCCTCACGAATGGAGTCACCCCAGATAGCTGTCCCATTGAGCCCATTAGTACAACAAAAACTATGTGAAATACTTTGGCTCCATGGCGATTGAACTGTATGTATGTGATCTGAGTGCTATTCGGTAATAATATGCACTCAGATCTAAGCTATCTGGGGATATGTTCCATGTGGGGGTTACATTCGGTAAATTGTAACAGATTTCTTATGTATTTTTGTCCATGTTAATAAAATTTAGTTTTACTCTATTCTCTGAGATAATTGAGTTACTTCCCAATTATCTCCAGGATAGAGAGGCAGGTCTTATACAGTTAAAGGGGAGTGTTTCTGTCTATAACGCTGTGATTGGCTTCTGTACTACTCTTGTCACAGTTTTCCACCATGTCCCCTAGGGGGGTGTCCACTTAATGGGAGACCTGCATAAATACTGGGTGGGTAGCCCACATTCAACTAGATTTTTGCTTGACCCTCAATACAGAGCCTCGTCTCGTACTTGAGGGGGATTATTCGTATACTTTTCCTGTTCGTATGACTGCTTGTTAGGCTGATTGGAGGTTCGGTAGATGCCTTTGTGTTCAGGAAGGGAATACCCTAAACGGCTTTAACCCCTTCTATACTCGGTGTGCCGTTACAGGAACCAATATATTTATTTTTTATTTCATTCAAGTTCTTGGAGCCTCCAGGAATTTTTGGGGGGCGTGACATCCCAAGAAATTGGCACACTGCTGAACATTCTCAGAGCAAGGAACTTATGGCTCTCAATATGGTGAGCACAATACTTATCATAAGTATATATACTGTAATATTGCACAGAACTACCCATCTAGTCTATTTCTCTTCTTTTTGTGTCTTCTGGAGGAACATCATTGAGGAAGTGGTGTGTTGCTGCCCAAAGAGCAAAAATGTTTAGTTTACAGAGCCAATACCATATAGGCTCCAGATCATGTGAGTGGGTCTAGTTATTTACTTTTATCATCCATTACCGCTAAAGACCATCTACACCATATATTTCTTTGTTTTATTTTTCCTTTTATATGTGTTTTGAAGTGTATATTCCAAAGTGTGGTATCACACTAAATTGATGGGGTAAGTGGACACCTCTATCACTTTATATTTATATAGCGCTCCACTAGTTGGTGTATATTTTATACCATATCTCCATGGCGATTGAACTGTATGTATGTGATCTGAGTGCTATTCGGTAATAATATGCACTCAGATCTAAGCTATCTGGGGATATGTTCCATATGGGGGTTACATTCGGTATTGTAAATTGATTGTGGAAATATGGGTATTCCACTTTATGTGTCGAGCTGCTTCTCGTTTAGGCACTATAGAGTATCATTCACTATCTCTGGAAAGAGGTTTTTATTGTTTTTGTTAACGTTGCAGGGAAAAGTTTGACTTTTTCTAAATTTATCTTCTTGCAATCTTCTAGCAGCAAAACCTTTTTAGATATTCAGCCAGTAATAATTCAGACTTAAATCTTGCCCATGCTTTCTCCATCATTAAATGTAGGAAAGTAGCTGATCCTGAGATGCTTGTTTGTCACATCAGAGTTCCAATAATTGAATCTGATTGCCTTGCAGTCTTAAAATTTATTTTATTCAAATGTACACGACATCCAAAAATAACAGTCTTTGCACATATCTGTACAGATACAGCAATATGCATGCACTTCAAGTTAATATCCATTTTTGATGTTACGTATTGGTGGTGAATATCTATCTGCAAAAATATGTTCTAAGTCTAAGAAATCAGTTCACTAGGAGGTGTACACATAAGGATACGGTTATTTAATTCTTTAAAAAATATGTGTAAAAAGGGTTGAAGCTTAATAACCATTCTGTCCAATCTACGATTAAAGCCATACATTATAAAAGTGGTTAACTTGTTTTCTTTGTTTTTTTTCTGTATGTATTAGGGCTGATGTGTACTATGGCCACCCAAGAGTAATGGGAGTTTGAGCGCAGGACTTGTGTATTTGTAAAAAATGGTTATACTTGGGGGTAAAATATAAATTACACATATCATTTACACATATATATGTTTAAATGAATACATTCAGAAAGAGACCCTTCTTAATACACATGGGAGTCTGGCTGGGTCAAAGGTTATAACAACAGCGGGCCTTCATCAATCTATGAGAACAAAAACCATATGTGTTGACCATTGATATACAATGGTCATATGTCCGATAATTAATATTAGATGTCTAGGTCTAGGTCGGGCCTACCAGATCCTGTGTATGAAAGAAGTCTGAAATGATATTATTTGCATCCAATACAAGAATAAATCATATTACTAAGATAAAAATCCTACGACATCAGATATTTTAAAGCTCATTAAATGTTTTTCAGAAGGCTGAAATTTGACTCCAAATTATGCATGTTTGACTGCCACATTTGCCAAAATTGGTATATTTATTGGTTATACTCTCAGCTGCATTGTATGCCCTAAGGGGAAAAAAAACTAGAAAATTAGAAATAAACATAACTGTTGCTTGAAGTCTGTATTAACATGGGGATTGGGGAAACCTATCCCAGTTCATATTTTTATTGGTATAAATAATTTGTAAATACATTTCATATGTGTGCTGTAGTTTTTTAATAAAAGCTGGAGCTCAGAAATAGTGTTCCTACAAGTTGCCTTCAAGAATCATGTGTCTTGTCTGTTTGCTGAGGTCTTGGTTGGAATCATACAAATGTCATGCTAAACAACCATTTTCATTGAAATGTATTACCAGTGGAACAAGCTATTTAGTATACTCTGTAACAGCCAGGACATACAACCACAATGTATCCTGGGTTACTGGTGAGTTTGCAACCAAGTGAAGCAGAGTTGGCAATGCAGGTTAGGCACATACCGACAATGACATGGGGGTGCCACAATACCAATGCATCATATGTACATTGACTGTTACTATCAAAGTTACTATTTATTGTGTGAGCATGATAAAACATCACAATACAAGATATTTTATTCCAATGTTAATCCATAGATGCATTATAAAATCACCTCACCTGTGTGAGTTATTTGATGACTGATAAGCTCTGAATTACTAGCAAAACATTTCCCACATATACTACATAAGAAAGGCTTCTCTCCTGTGTGAGTTCTCTGACAACGAACAAGCTGCGCCTTGGTGACAAAACATTTTCCACATTCAGAACATGAGAACGGTTTCTCTCCTGTGTGAGTCCTCTGATGTCTAACAAGTGTTAAATGTTGCCCAAAACATTTTCCACATTCAGAACACGAGAACGGTTTCTCTCCTGTGTGAGTTCTCTGATGACTGACAAGAGTTGAATGTTGCCCAAAACATTTTCCACATTCAGAACATGAGAACGGTTTCTCTCCCGTGTGAGTCCTCTGATGACTGACAAGATCTGTATTAGTAACAAAACATTTTTCACATTCAGAACATGAGAACGGTTTCTCTCCTGTGTGAGTTCTCTGATGACGGACAAGCTCTGCATTAGTGATAAAACATTTTTCACATTCAGAACATGAGAACGGTTTCTCTCCTGTGTGAGTTCTCTGATGACGGACAAGCTCTGCATTAGTGATAAAACATTTTTCACATTCAGAGCATTTGAACGGTTTCTCTCCTTTGTGAGTTCTCTGATGATGCGTTTTGGTGACAAAACATTTTCCACATTCAGAACATGAGAACGGTTTCTCTCCTGTGTGTGTATTCTGATGAATGACAAGAGTTGAATGTTGCCCAAAACATTTTCCACATTCAGAACATGAGAACGGTTTCTCTCCTGTGTGTGTATTCTGATGAATGACAAGAGTTGAATGTTGCCCAAAACATTTTCCACATTCAGAACATGAGAACGGTTTCTCTCCTGTGTGTGTATTCTGATGAATGACAAGAGTTGAATGTTCCCCAAAACATTTTCCACATTCAGAACATGAGAACAGTTTCTCTCCTGTGTGGGTTCTCTGATGACGAACAAGATGCGCTTTGGTGACAAAACATTTTCCACATTCAGAACATGAGAACGGTTTCTCTCCTGTGTGGGTTCTCTGATGATGAACAAGATGTATTTTGGTGACAAAACATTTTCCACATTCAGAACATGAGAACGGTTTCTCTTCTGTGTGGGTTCTCTGATGAATAACAAGTTTTGATTTAGTGATAAAACATTTTCCACATTCAGAACATGAGAATGGTTTCTCTCCTGTGTGTGTATTCTGATGAATGACAAGAGTTGAATGTTGCCCAAAACATTTTCCACATTCAGAACATGAGAACGGTTTCTCTCCCGTGTGAGTCCTCTGATGTCTAACAAGTGTTAAATGTTGCCCAAAACAATTTCCACATAAGGAACATGAGAATGGTTTCACTCCAGTGTGAGTTCTCTCATGACTGACAAGACTTGAATGTTGCCCAAAACATTTTCCACATTCAGAACATGAGAACGGTTTCTCTCCTGTGTGAGTTCTCTGATGACTGACAAGAGTTGAATGTCGCCCAAAACATTTTCCACATTCAGAACATGAGAACGGTTTCTCTCCTGTGTGGGTTCTCTGATGACGAACCAGATTCGCTTTGGTGACAAAACATTTTTCACATTTAGAACACGGGAAAGGTTTGGAATTTATGTTTACGATCTCCTTTGAGAACATATAGGAATCTGAGAAAATGCTTGATTTTTCAGAGTTAGACTCCTTGGTTATGTTATTAAAATATTTCTTCATAGCTTTGCTTCATGTATTTATGTTCTTGTCACCTCTCCAGACAAATACACCTGAAGGAAAGATACTTGGTGTTAAAGGAAATTGATCACAATAAATTGTTTGCTATACTTAGAAAAATAGACAATATTTGCATAATATATAAGATAGACGACCATCAGGTGTCATGGTGATTGTGAAGAAATCAAGTATTTGTGTGCATTAACCCCTTTACTAGCAGAATTGTGTATACTCTTTTTTTTTTTTTACTTTAATTTGCTTTGCAAAATTAGATTTAGCCCATAAAGCCTCACGTATATGCATTTATGCTAGAGGAACAAATTATAGATACTGTGTATATCACATACATTCTAATCACATATTCTAAACACATGCAGCACATAATTTCACTGTTATCCCCCTACCTCTGCCACTGGAAAGTTGTGCCAAGTATGTACTACTATTTTTATATCACTCCAAGCCTCTACCACTTATACTAGAAGGTTGTGCTATTGAAACTGTAGTAGATACCTGGTTTGACCAGTCGGTGGAAATGTAGTGGGAGTTAAAGAAAATGTGTCTATAAATTATCTGTCTTAGAAAAACTGACAATATTTTTATGAAAGACAAGAAATATGACTATGAAATATCATGTTGATTGCGCCAGACCTTAAAAAAAAAATATATATATATATATATTTTAACGGCTACCCAGGGTAGTGAGGGGTATCTGCCGTTGGCAACGTCCTTCCTCCGGGTAAGATGCTGGGCTGTAGGGGAGAGGTGAAGTCCCATCCGCTGGATCCCTGGAGCAGTAGAGAGGCAGAGCTCTGAAAAGTGCTAGTGATTAAGCTGCAAATTCCCTTTCATTAACGAGACAGAGCTAGGTTTTGAAGGGTGAAGAAGAAATGACTCCACTGAGTGTTTATTGCGGTTATTATGCAGGATTTTACAGGTTAGACACCACCCACTGGACCTTGTGGGGCACCGACAATACAGTTACAGCAACCAATCATACACAAGATGACAATAGAGCACACGCAGCAGTTACAGTAAATTCCTCCCCTCTGCTTAGGAAATAATTGAGTTAATTAAATGTATCTACTCAATTATCTCCAAGCTAAAAAGTGAAATTTTTATATAAAAACGATTACTGAAGGCAAAACAACAGTCTGAGTTCATATATATATATATATATATATATATATATATAAAAGCAGCCATTATACAGGTTAACTGGGGTGTTTTTGTTACACGGTATATATATATATATATATATATATATATATATATATATATATATATATATATATATATATATATATATATATATATTTATATTTATATTTTTTTTTTTTTTTTTATAAAAAAAAAGGAAAAGGACAAACTCTGGCACTCTTCCTTTAAATCAAATAAAAATTATGAAATTACCCGGGTGCTTCCAAGCCAGTCAATATATCAGATCAATCAGCAGCACTCCATTGGATTTTCAAAATAGTGTTTTTAATCCGGTGTTAATAAATCACAGCATCAACGTTTCGACCCAATAGGGTCTTTATCAAGATAGTAACAACCTCCAAATAGTGCAAATATATACAGAAATAAAAGTAGATCTAACTTACCCCACCTGTGGAGTGATCTCCGCGCTCACCAAGTTCTGCTCAGTAGTGCGCATGCGTAGTGACGTCACTGTATCCGTGCGTCATGACGTGTATGAGTGCGTGCGTAAAGACGTAATCATAGACCCCATAGACACGGAACGTATCCATGGAAACCCCAGCTGACATAAAAACAAAACAAACGGAGGACCAAGCAACTAAAGACCGGACCACATCATTGGAGATGTCAGTAACCAAGAGCCCAAATACGGTAAAAATACTAATCAACTAGGTGCTGGCGTGAAAAAGGTGTAAAAGTAAAAGAGGTTAAGAGCCTATATGAATATAGGCAGAAATATAATGTGAGAAGAAGAAAGTGTAAGTAAATATAACAGTGTATGTGAATACAATAATAAAAAAATAGAGAGAGGATATACTGTGCAACCAAGTTAATAATATATACATATCCAACATATATCTAAATATATCTCATGTAGAGGGTGGGCAGAACCCAGGTATATCAGAGCACTGAAATCATAAAATAAAAAACAAAAAATTCCAATGAATAAAATAAAATACATAAACCAAATATTATAAGGCCGCAACACCTGGGAAAAAGGAATCAAAAACCTAAACTGAAAAAAAGACTAACGTCTCTCCAAAAATGAATTAAATGAGACATTCATTCAATCCCTTGGGTTCTAACGTATCCAATTGTTTAATCCAAAAAGTTTCCCTCTGGAGTAATAATTTTGACCGATCTCCCCCTCTTATTGGGGAGGGTATAACATCAATAGCAATGAACTTAAGCATATGCCAATATATTCATGGCTTGGTTCGAACGAAATCTTGAACATACCTTTTATGTACAAACCTTTGGGACGGCGATGGGAGCGACTATGGCACCTTCATATGCCAATATATGGCACAAATATTCTTATATATTTCAGATTTGTGGACGATATCCTGTTAATTTGGAAAGATACTAAAGAAGAGCTCTGTGACATGGTAACTGATAATAATTTACAGACACGTATAAAACTCACTCTTACATTTGATACTACCACCATACAATATCTGGATGTATCATTATTTAGAACTGAGGAGGGCACTGGTTATACTCTCTACCGTAAGGAGACGGACCGCAATACATTACTCCTAGCCACGAGTTTTCATCCAAAACACTTGATAAACTGAGAGATGGGAAGCGATTCTATCTGAGTACTACGGTACAATAATGATCCCACCAAAATGGACATACAGTTACAACAGATGCGCCAAAGATTTTTAGATAGAGGGTATTCACCTCAAACACCAACTTTAGCTGAACTCAAGGCAAAGGAACGGATTCAGAAAATTTTGGAGAAAACTTTTGATACGTATGAAGATCATTTGTTTCTCCCACTCACTTTTCACACAAACACATCATTAATCAAGGATAAAATATGTAAACATTGGGACATATTAAAAGCAGACAAACATTTGTCACCAATTTTTCCAATTATTAGTTACAAATGTAATAGAAGTCTGAGGGATATGCTAGTTCGTAATGATCCTGTACATTGTTACCAAAAACTAAGCTGATAAAGAAAAAAGGTTGCTTCAAATGCACAGGATGTGTAACATGTAGCCATATGTTATCTAATACATCCTTTGCCCATCCACAAACAGGCAAGCGTATCCTTATTAAGCATTATTTCCCCTGTACTACAGATCATGTTATTTACATGATCACATGCCCATGTGGTCTATCATACGTGGGCAAAACAGATCTAACACTTTGTGACAGGATTGGAAGTTAGCGAATGTTGTGCCCATTTACAAGAAAGGTAATAGGAAGGAGTCTGGCAACTATAGGCCAGTAAGCCTTACTTCAGTAGTGGGGAAAGTGATGGAAACCATGTTAAAGGATAGGATTGTTGAACATCTAAAAACACATGGATTTCAAGATCAGAGACAACATGGGTTTACTGCAGGGAGATCATGCCAAACTAATCTTGATGATTTTTTTGATTGGGTAACTAAAATTATAGATCAGGGTGGTGCAGTAGACATTTCTTACCTAGATTTCAGTAAGGCTTTTGACACTGTTGCACATCGAAGCCTTATCAATAACTGCAATCTTTACGTTTGGATTCCAATATTGTTGAATGGGTAAGGCAGTGGCTGAGTGACAGGCAACAGAGGGTTGTAGTTAATGGAATATATTCGAAGCTTGGACTTGTCACCAGTGGGTTACCTCAGGGATCTATACTTGGACCCATTCTGTTTAATATTTTTATTAGTGATATTGCAGAAGGTCTTGATGGTAAGGTATGTCTTTTTGCTGATGATACTAAGATATGTAACAGGATTGATGTTCCAGGAGGGATAAGCCACATGGCAAATGATTTAGGTAAACTAGAAAAATGGTCAGAATTGTGGTAACTGACATTTAATGTGGATAAGTGCAAGATCTTGGACGTAAAAATCCAAGGGCAGAGTACAGAATATTTGATAGAGTCCTAACCTCAACATTTGAGGAAAGGGATTTAGGGGTGTTTATTTCTGATGACTTAAAAGTAGGCAGACAATGTAATAGAGCAGCAGGAAATGCTAGCAGAATGCTTGGTTGTATAGGGAGAGGTGTTAGCAGTAGAAAGAGGGAAGTGCTCATGCCATTGTACAGAATACAGGTGAGACCTCACTTGGAGTATTGTATAGGGATCGACCGATATTGATTTTTTAGAGCCGATACCGATACCGATATTCTGTGAACTTTCAGGCCGATAGCCGATATAATTTGCCGATATTGTGTACGTTTACCATTTTGGAAAATAAAAACTATTTCTAAAGGTAAATGCACAAAATATACATGCCACGTGTAGTGGATGCAGTGTGACAGGGGAGCTGTGTGTGTGTGTGTGCAGTGGATGCAGTGTGTGTCTTTGTGTAGTGTGTGTGTAGTGGATGCAGTGTGTTAATTCCTGCTTGGTTCACTGCTGCCCACCTTTAGTTTATTTAGTGAGCGCCTAACTCCTCTTTGTTGTGTCTTTGTGTAGTGTGTGTGTGTAGTGGATGCAGTGTGTGTTTGTGTAGTGTGTGGGTTGTGGATGCAGTGTGTGTTTGTGTAGTGTGTGTGGAGGATGCAATGTGTGTTTGTGTAGTGGATGCAGTGTGTATTTGTTTAGTGTGTGTAGTGGATGCAGTGTGTATTTGTTTAGTGTGTGTAGTGGATGCAGTTTGTATTTGTTTAGTGTGTGTAGTGGATGCAGTGTGTATTAGTGTAGTGTGTATATAATGAAAGCAGAGTGTTTGTGTAGTGTGTGGGTAGTGTGCGTAAAGTGAATGCTGTATATACTAAATGCAAAGTGTGTGTGTATATAATGAATGCAGAGTGTGTGTGTGTATTTGTGTAGTGTGTGTATAGTGAATATAGTGTGTGTATATAATGCAGTGTGTTTGTGTAGTGTGCATTATATAAACACACTACGCAAATACACTGCATTATATACACACACTATGCAAACACACTGCATTATATACACACACACTACACACACAAACACTGCATTATATAAACACTACACAAACACACACACTGCATTATATACACACACTGCACAAATACACACTGCACAAACACACACTGAATTATATAAACACACTACACAAATACACTGCATTATATACACACACTACACAAATACACAGCATTATATACACACACTACACAAATACACTGCATTATATACACACACTACACAAATACACTGCATTATATACACACACTACACAAATACACTGCATTATATACACACACTACACAAACACACACTGCATTA